TTGCCGGCGCTCGTGGCGGCCACGTCCGCCGCCGCCGCCGCCCCGCCGCCACCGCTCCCGTCCGCCCTGCTGCCGCCTCCCCCCGCGGCCGCCGCCCCCGCTTGAGGGGGTCGCCACGCCAACCTCTGGTGGGTCGCCGTTGTCGACGACGGTGGAACCCCCCCCTGCGATGCGTACGAGGAGCACGACTCGCTGTCGCTCCCGCTCGTGCCGCAGCTGATGCTGCTGCTGTCCGTCGTCCCCGCCGAAAAGCTCCCCCCTCCTCCTCCCTCATGATCGTCACCACGGTGCCCCGCGCGCAGGCCCGAGATGGGTGGCGGCCACTTGCTGGTTCCTCCTGCTGCTGCCTCCCCCGACCGCTGGCGCTTGCGCCCCCCCGCCCGGCGGCGGGCGAGAGCGGCGGCGCGCTCTTGTTCCGCCGCGGCTGCCGCTGCCGCGGCGGCCTCTCTCCTGGCAGCAGCGATGGCCGCCGCCGCCCCCTCGGGGGAGGACAAGCCGAGCCGGACGCGGGCCTGGAGGTCCACCACGACCCTAGTCTTGAGGGACGTGTCGTTCCAGGAGGCTACGGCTTCCGGGGAAGGGTCGAAGCGCGCCACTTTTTTCCGCGATCGAGGCATACTTGTACCGGTGTGTCTTTCTGGTGCGGTGATTTTCCAGGGCCTGGTGAAAAAGTGGCAGGCAGAGCACGCCCCCAAGATCGTATCGCAGCAGGAGGAATGGGTGAATTTTACTTGCAAATATATCTGCTAAATAGCGAGGTAAATAAATAAGTAACTATTGAATAGGTGCATCAAACTGCTGGTGTGGTTGCATGTATGCAATCATCCTGCGTACGCATGCCATTTGGGGAGGCCAGCGAAAACAAAATAGTCACTATTTCTTGGCCCGGCGTTACCGCGAAAGTCGGAATAGTGTTCTGTTTGTGGATATCAAAATATCCATGTGAATACTGCTGTACCTACCTCTATCCGTTGTGAAGGACACTCGCCAACAAGTCTTCGACGCATGCGTGTGAAAGCTCCTACAGGTGCGGGTATAATATCCCGCAAAATCCATCGAGCTGTGTCAAGTCTATTATGGAGACCTCCACGTGCACTACCGTTTAGTCACCGCTGTGTGACAAATGTATGTGCATGCGAGCACTATTATAGCAGGAACACACAAGAGGACACAGCACCATGCAATGCATAGAGAACAGCCCCCGGTGCAATTCCTCAAGGCAACATGAAATCTATAAGTTGAAATAGAGTATACAACAGGAGCCGCAGTGTTTTAATTGTCCGCTCCAACATCGGGGCTCGAAATGCCGCGCACTTGTTTTTGCGTGCCATCAAACACTGCACTCGCAAAATATTCCTTTTGTACGGAACTACGGAACGCGTTTCACACGGAAGCAAAAGACCTAACCTCTGAATCGGGTCCACACCTAAAACGAAACACTTCGAATAATCCATCACATAACGTACACCCTCCAAAGCTCAGCTCTGCTGGGTACAGGTATGCTACAAGTACTACACAAGAAATATTGAATGGCTGGGGGGGGGGGGGATACGTCAGTTTCTGCGTCCAGCATGTTGTTCAACACACGCAAGCGCCGGCAAAGGAATCGGTCAAAAAAGGAACCTCGAACTCACACCGGGTTCAACAACCGGGGGCGGGACAGGATGGAAAGCGAACGAGCTACACACGCGTCCAAGTAATGATGACCACACCGTGAACAAATCCGGGAGAAACAACGGAGTAATGCTGCCGCGTATCTACATACTACTGCCGATGTTGAGATATTGACTGCTCTCAAGGAGATGCGGGAGAGACCGTTTGGAATTCCAGATCCCGTTTGCAAGAGTTGGATCCAGATTCGGACAACGGCGATGAATACATACGCGGGTCAAGAGTAGAATTGAGAGACAAAAGCAGAGTACCCAAGGAACAAACCAACGGGGATCAGGCTCCTGTTCGGTTTGCCTCTTTTCGGTTCCTTTATCGCTGGGTGGGTGGGTGTGCGTACTTGTATGCAAACGATAGCCTCAAGAGGTTCCAGGTATTGCAGCATTGGAGATGAGTTTCTGGCTGCAACAAATTGGAACTGCCGTGACCGAACTAGATGGACCACCCTGCTGTGAACGGACAAAACCTAATGACGAGGGTAGAACGGTCATGTTTGCATTAAGTCACGCATACGCTTGCACCAGCACGAGCGCTAGCTAATAGCTGGGCGATGTCATCGACCACCACACACGGCCCTTTGCTTCTTCAAAGTGTAAATATAAAATTGGACATTTTGGGGGCTGCAGAGGAATATTCGCAACACACACGTTCGGCTTATGGGGGAACATCTGTTGTACGTTTTACCCCGTGGATAGAGTGACCTCTGGGACTCTGTGCGCGCCAGGAACCCCACGCGCCATCAAGTCTTCCACACGAGGACCGCAACATCGAATAATGCATGAGAGGAACATACACACTCAGCAGAGACCAAGCACGAAGCAAGGCCTACTCATTATTCAAGATGAAAACGGCTGGTTGACCTTGTGAGGAGCGGAACAGAGGGGTCTAGCCGGAGGAGGGTATGGAACTGACCGATCATGCCCACCAGCACACGTCTGTCTCTAACGCAACGGTCTCCGGTGAGTATGCATCGAGTAGCAGCAAAGTGTGCCTTCCGAAGTCCTACCTGTCGTCGCCAACGACTGCTGCTGCTGTTGCGCCTGTAGAGCATACCATAATCTTTTTGCAGCAGAAAAAACACCAATATACATCCCCCCTCCCAAAGGGAAAACTGGAGAGACTGGATGCGTGATCATTCAGCACACAACACCCAGGATCCTACTCTCACCTGGGACAGCTGGCCACGCTGAACGTTTTCTCCGTCACACGTGCACCCTCCTCCCTTCTTTTGGTGGCAGAGTCGATAACACCCCACACCTCAGCGATTTAGTAGTGTAGCTCCTCGCTCTCGATCGATTTTATTTCCAGAGCCAGGAGAAAGAATCAGGAACACCAGCTTGCTTGCCTCGAGCAGAGGGAACCACGAGCTCAACTCAAGGTGGGCGCGGACGACCGCGGACCACGGTGGCGCGGTGACGGGGCCGTCGACTGCCGCGCGTGCAGTGCGAGATCTCTCTGTCTGGGAAGAGATAGACCAAAACAACCAAACGCCCAGTCTAAATCCAAGTTGATTCGATAACTGGGAGAGAGGTGAAAAAGGAGAGTAGGCGACACGACAGGAAGGGCAAACACGCGGGCGGAGAGAGAACTGGACGGAGAGATTACTTCTTTTTCCGTGCATCTGATTGGCTAATATCCCTCGCGACGATACTGGCAAGGGAGGCCCGTCATATAATAAACATACCAATAGATTGGAGAACTACTTGTGTAATACTCTCTGCCGTTCCCCCTCCTACCGCGTTTTTGCCGAATTGCATGCCGGCACACATTTCGCTCGCCTGCGCTGCGGCCAGCCTTTTTGATGCGTGTGGCGACGGCGGGGCTGGTGGTAACCCTATCATGCAGATACTTTTGCGTGAGGGCGTTTCTCGGAGGTCCTGCAGCCGTATCATCTCATACTAAGGCACAGCACAGCGCCAGGTCAGCAAGAATGCAGAGTTCGGAAATGACGTACCCCCCCCCTCCGCTAAAACACGTCATGCATCCTCTTAGCCGCTGGGTTGTCGCGTTGTCGCACACAGTACAGGGAGGCTGAGATGGGTGAAGTGCGCTGCACACCGCGGGTCGGAATCATGGTTACTCTACTGCAGTTCCAATAATAATCCCGCAATCTGTTCAGCGTAATATAAGATCGATCTCCTCCCGTCCGTGTCCATTTCGTTTGATTCGTACAGCCAACAGCACAGCAGTTAGTTGTTAGTTACTGCGAGCAGCGTGGTACGCAGGAACCACGCGTTTTGCGATCTTCAGGCTACAGTAGATCTAGCAGATTTACCCTTCGAACTGAACGTACGAAAGTCATCGGGAGGACCGAGACCTTCGGAGCAGCAGTGAGCCGATCTGTACAAGTACAACACCGTATCCAATCCGATGGGAGCCAAATCAGGACATCAGGGCATGGACCTGCAAGTGGACACATTTTACGACGTCGGGGGGCGTTGCCTGAATGATGTGTTGAACCTGAAGTACGCGAAAAATGAATCAGTGGTATTTGTTTTTCGTTTGGGTGCAACAGTGATATCAACAGCTCCAAACGATACTAAGTAGCTCAACGTTGCTGTGTTGTGCCTCTCGAATTAGCTACAGAGTTGAAACAATCCTATTTCTCATCATCCCGGTGCGTTAACCCCGCAGCAATGACATTTTTTCTTGAAGCATCCGGCTACTAGCGTGATCGATCCTGCACGATCCTCCAACAAAAGTAGTTGAAGAAACACATGCCATGAAAATTCCTCAACGTTTGGGAGAGCTTTGCTGAGGAATCCTCTTGTGAACGAAGCATGCGTCCTGCTGTTGTAAATTATTCGGAAAAATAAATACACACACAGAAAGACTACCCATTCGAGATATGGTCTACCCAAATTATGTAGGGGTTGCCTTTAGGACAGCCTCGTCAAGGGGATGACGACCAACGCCTCCCAAAGCGGCGACCGTGAAAAGTTAAGACCAGTGTATGTTAGAGCGTCCGTATGTGCTTGGAATTGGCGCACAATGTTGCCAGGCACACCACTCTCAAGGCTGTCCGCGTTGAGGGGAACTGGCGTTGTTGAGGGCGGGTTTCGGAGTTCCTTGAACACCCAGGAGCACCAAACCACACAGCAAATCTGCTTGTCTCTCTCTCGTTGGCTCCATCCCTCAGACCGCCTGCATTAACGTATCGGACGTCCTCCGCCCTCCCTGCAACGCACACCAAGGAAACATGCGCAACTACACAACGCGCGGTGTTCCAGACTCCGCATGTCTTCAACTGACGAACCAACGCCCGAAGAACCAAGCACCCCGAAGAAGAAGAAGAAGAAGGTCGTGGTGGTCGGAGGCGGGTGGGCGGGTTTCGGGGCCGCCAAGGCGTTGACGGAGGCGGGGGAGGGGAGCTACGAGGTCACCCTTCTCGACGCCAGCCCTAACCCGGGAGGTCTCTCGGCCGGGTGGCGAACGGCGGGAGGACGCGCTGTGGAGGCCGGTATGACACAACAGAGAGACAGACATGAGAGATTTTCTTGGGTCTCCCAGACAAAGTTTTTGTCCGTATGACGATAAGATTTTCCGTGCCAGCACACCCATGTAAACGCATGCCGAAGTCGTTTTCGACCATCCGTACAACGCCGGGACGGACCTATATGCCGCGTTTTCGCCGGTCCAGGCTACGTTTCACAAGGATGAACCAGAAGCTGGCCATCGCCCCTGCGTCTGCTGTGCTAAACCCGATATGCCGTGCCGGTTTGGGGGCAGAATGCGGGTTAGGTCGCGTGTCGCCTCGCTCGTAGTTTTGCTTGGAACCTCTGCTGGGGTGGTGTCGAGGGGACGACCAACAACAGCGAAGACCATTGAAGCCGCAATCGAATCATTGGACTCGTCAGCGCAGACTACAGCAGTGTCTAATGGTTTTATTTTCTGGCTTTTTATGTGTCACGAGAAAGTCGCACCATCTTTCGATTCAACACCTACCTGTTCCTGTGCTCCGGGTCTTGCGCGTTGCGTTTTTTTTTTTTTTGTGATGATGTAGGGATCAAGGGGTTCTGGTGGTCTTACCCCAACATCTACGACCTAGTGGAGAGGGAGCTCAAGATTGAGAATCCCTTCACGGACTGGACGAGAAGCAGCTTCTTCTCACCTGATGGCTTGCAGGTAGTTGGTTCCAGCAGCCGATTTGCGTGGCATAGCCGATGCCTCAACAACCCTTGTTCCCTCTTTTCGGCGGGGCGGGGGGTAACACAACGGGGGTCTACAAAGCACAAGGGCACCTGCGGCTGCACGTTCCTTGCTGGCAGCTTGCTGAACGAACCGTCGGGCGTTTTTAGTGTTTGTTATTTGGGAGAGCTGTGCAGCTGCGCTATGAAATATTCCGTAGCTGACGAACGGAATTGGTTAGACCATTCGACGTATCTCCTCTGCTGGGAATCTCGCAGAAGACTCCGTTCTCATCCCTCCAGGGTGCTGCATTGGTAGAGGGGTAAACTATGTGCTGCTTTCTTTTTCCGTTCTGTCAGGGTGTCGGAGGTCCATGTTGAGACCACGCGCGCTTCGATTTCGGGAAGGTGTGAAGATCCATGAGGGCAACGGCTGAACACAGCCTGACCCGTTTCGGCTGGTTGGACCGATCATACACAGCACCGTCGTTGTTTCCTTAGTTTCCCGTTTTTTTTCCAAGCGAGCTCTGGGCACGCGGTCCTTCTCCCGGAAGGGTTCGTCTTGCCGCACGGTATTCGCAAAGCACGCCTCAAAGATGCACAGCACAACAAGCTTCCACGCCCCTTCCCCAAACCGTTGGGTAACCAACCTGGCGGAGTGGAAAGAGTTCCGTGTTTTTTTTTTTCGTGCTTAAGGCAAGTCGATTTTTCCGTTGACCTCTCGGCCGGCTTGCTTGATTTTCACTCACGAAACGAAACGCACACACAAACACGTACGCCAACGAAGAGCACATAGCGCCTCCTCTTTTCTCCACCCCCCTTCTGTCCACCCCTGCCCCGTCCCGTCCCGCCACCATAAATACCGCGCGTGCGCCACGATGCGGTTGGGGGACCCCGAAAAACAGGTGGAGGCTCCCGTGCTCAACCGTGAGCAGAGCTACCCTTCCCCCCTGGGCCTGTTCCTGCACACGAGGGCGCTCTTCACGTCGCTCCCGTTGGCCGACCGGGCGTCGATGATCCCCCTGCTGTACGCCATCCTGGACTTCGAGCGCGACGAGGACACGTACCGCGAGTACGACAAGATGACCGCCAGGGAGCTGTTCCGCCGGTTCGGGGTTTCCAAGAGGTGGGGGAAGCAAAGCGGGTTTAGCGGGGGCGGGGGGGAGATACTCATGTACTTGCATACCTTAGCTGTTAGACCGCGCCCTCGAGAGGACGGGGGTTTTGTGCCCTCGGGGGGGATTTAGAAGGTCGAAAAGAAGGGCAAGGGGGGGCTCGGGGGCTCGGGGGGGGGGGGGGGGGGGGGGGGGGGTTTTTTTTCCTGATACCCGGGGGGGGGGAATTTTTTCCGCCCCTTTTCCTTCTTGGGGTCCTTGGGAAAGGGGGGGGGGTTTTTTGGGTTTTCCCCCCCAAACGGGGGCGGGGAAAACCTTTTAAAAAGGGGGAACCCCCCCGAAAATTTTTGGGAACCCCCCAAAAGGGGGGGGGGGGGCCGGGGGGGGCCCCCTAAAAAAATGGGAAAAAGGGGCTGTTTTTTGGAATTCCGGGGGTTTTTGGAACCCCAAAAAAAAAAAGGCCGTTTTCGGGGGTTTCCT